TTTTGTTTTTTTTTTTTTTTTTTTTTTTTTTTTTAACTTTTGTTTCCTCGTCTTTTTGTTGTTTTGATTTAGATCCACCATTGGGGGATTGTGTGTGGGTGTATTTTTTTCCCCCTAAAAATTGTAGTAAATATATGAAATTAAATTAAGTAAATAGTTGATTTTAAAACTATTTGAAGTAGAAAACAGTTTACCTTATAAATATTTACGACTAACAAAAAGATTTTAAAACTATTTTTTTTACACGATAAATTACTATTTATTTTAAATAATTTTTAAAGTATGTTATTAGTTTTATAAATATGTTATTTACTACTTTCTCCGCTTCTCTCTCTTCTTATTTAGCAGCATAGTACCTTTAAAGAAAAAAAAAGATTATCAAATCTGTCTTATTTATTTATTTTTTCTAACTGGAGATTCAAACTCTATATTTTAACATTGCAGATAAGAGTAAATGTACCAATTTTCTCTAAAGTCTACACCACTCAAATATACTAATTTTTATCGAAGGGTTGTGTTTATCTATTTATGTTTTTCCCTTTTAATCCTCCCAAATTCCTTTCCAAAGCGGAAATGTTAGTGAACATTTGTGCAATGTTGAGTTTTTCTAGACAGCTAAACTAGCCTCTAGGAAGACCACAAAATGTGCCTTTTAAAAATATGTACAAATTAAGGTGTACACGGGCAAAATAATTCGGAGCCTGCTAAAAATTTTCTCCATAAGCTTTGTAGCACAAATTCAGTAAAAGGAAATACAAAATGAAAAAAAAAATGATATAGTTTCAATAAGGTTTTTGTTCGATAACATGATTGATTTGTTCAACCAAAGAAGAATTTGAAAGCATGTTTTCTAGCATTTGTTATTTAGAACTACATAGATTCCTCAGATTGTTCATAACCACATGCTTGGTCTTTTATTTATTTATTTATTTGCTACGAAAATGCTTGATCTTTTTAAACAAGGAAGAACAAGAAACATGTTTTTCAGCAACTGCTATTTATTTATTTATCTACTCTTATATATAAAATCAACAATTGTTATTTGGAATAATATATTACATTGTATCTAACAAAAAATTGGATTTATCCCCTCAATGGTTACCTCTTAGATTTCTGTAAGGCGGCTAATAATACTATTAAATTTTTACCGCAATATTGTTTTTACTCTTTATAGTCGTCCTTGTACAACCTTCTTATTAAAATGGGCTCTTCGTGGATCCCCAATAGACCATTACAAACAAACTCAACAAAAAGGCATCTTTCGACCCAAGAGGAATGCTTGAAAGAGTTCGATATGTTCAAGATTCCATACTACAGGATCTGTCAATATATAGCGTGGACTTCCCTTTTAAAATGCTCAACATTTACTCTTCTCTTCTCATCATCATCAACAACTCACTTTCTTTTGCTTACACCAATCATTAATAAACATACAAAGAAAAACAAAAAAAACCTCAAGTTTACTTTAAACTTATCTCTCTGTCATAAATGGAAGCAACACGTCTTTCGCAAACCAAGAGCCTTTGCTCAACATCCCTACCTCACCGCAGGCTTATTGTGCCTCGGCCTAAACGACCCTCATTTGTCGCGGTGCTTACGCAGCCGGCAGATAGCATCGGCATAAGGCCCTTGGCAATACCAACCGTAGTGACCGAAAAGGCCGGTCCTTACAATGATAGCTGGTTTGATCGGATTGCCACTCACCATCTCTCGCAGAGTGTCCAGGCTGCAACAGGTTCTTTACTTTGTTGCGTCTTTCATTCAATATAAAGATGTATACTAGACTTCATGCAAAATTCTAAAATCATATGCAGGGTTGAGAAATAGTAAGAGTGGATATGAAAGCTTAGTGGAGGCAGCTACGGCTGTATCCAGGAACTTTGATGCAACAAAACAGCGAGAACTTGTTATACAAGCTCTTGAGAAAGCTTTTCCGAGGCCAATTCTTTCTCTGGCAAGTTCATGACTTTATCATTATTATTTTTTTCATCTTTTTTGGGTAGTCTTTAAAAGCTCAATCTTCTAATCCCAAACAACAAGAGGAGGGATATTTTGATCATTCAATCATCTTTTTAAGTCTAGTATTTTGTTGTTTTTCTCATGAGAATCTTTGTCGTAAGTTATAAATGCGCAGTGAGGTAATAATTCACTGCAATATTGATGCAATATGTGTCCAAATGACAGATAAGAACATTGCTGCCGCAATCGAAATTTGCAAGAGAGTACTTTGCTGTCTTCACCACCTTGTTTTTTGCGTGGCTGGTTGGACCTTGTGAGGTACTGGAGCTTAGAGCTAAGGAATTTCTTTCGTCTAACTTTTTCTTTTGGTCGTACGGCTATATTTGATCTGTCCATAGTAGCCCCACCAACTAGACCCACTTGAATAATTTTTTTGAGGCAAATCAAAATGATTTTGGGCTAGTCGCCCCCCCTGCTTGTTTGCACTGTGCTAGAAAGGCTAGTGTTGATCCACTTTTTGCGACTTATAAGGGTAGACGGTGGCATACTTGGATAACCCCGGGAAGACTGCGGCAACCCCACGTAGTATATGCTCTGCCCACCGCGGTGGGGCTGACATAAATCTAAGACCTTATTGAGCAGAACGAGCAGCCCTACCATTCCACTAAATGACCGGTGGTGTTCCACTTTTATGCAAAGAGTTAAGAGTACCTGCAAATTTGGGAGGGCACATGAGCCTGTAATACTCTGCGTCATGCCATTTGGTTGGTGACTTTGTTGTCATCATGACATGATAGGCCAAATCACACTCAATTAAGCAGAAACGTATTTGTAATTTTTGCGCTTTTATGTCAGCAACATTCGCAGACAAATCCTTTTGTCTATTTTTCACACAAAAACACAGATTCAAAAGCGCACACACATCCTAATAACCCATTGAGATATTTTAATGTAAGTTCAAAACAAAATCTAACAGGAGTCATCTTATGAATGACAAGGTCCGGGAATCAGAGCTCAATGGAAGAAGAGAAAAAAATGTAGTCCACATAAAGAAATGCAGGTAATTTTAATTTTTAATTTTCTTTCCTGGGTTTTGCTTTTTCTTTTTTAACATTATTTTTACGCTTAAAAGGGGTCCCACCTCACCAACCTAAGAGACATTCCCTTCCTAAACCGTTCAGCTCCAATGATTGTGCTGGTGCCGGACTCTTCTCCCCTGCATTTCAGTCAAACAATTTCATCATGACCATCGAATTGTTGTCATAATCATTTTTAATATAAAAATCAGTATTGACACTATAAAATTAATCACCCCCAATATTGTTCTATTGTCAGTAATCCCTTTACTTTGTTTCAACAAATTTTGCAGGTTTTTAGAGCAGACAAACTGTGTGGGGATGTGCAGTAATCTCTGTAAGATACCATCTCAGACCTTCATAAAGGACTCCCTGGGAGTGCCAGTCAATATGGTCCCAAGTAAGTAATGACCAAAACATAAAGCACAAAAATTTCACACAATATGCGGTCTTCATTATAAACAAAACTGTGCTGATTTTCTTGTTTGCTTAGTATATTGAATTCTTACATATAACATATACTAGTTGTTTCCCTAGAAATAAAATGAAACAGGAAACTTGTTTCAAAGGAAATATTATTCTAATGAAAAAAGATCAACAAAAAGGTGAAAAAAATTACTTGAAAAATTAATAGTACCTGCACTTTAAATGTGGAGGGCCATGCTCATCATGCCAATGGAGGGTCCCATTCGTACGCCATAGAGGGTGCAGAGCCGCAAGTAGAGCCATACAAACTCAGTTGAGAATTCCATCATACAATATTAACACTATAAAAACATAAGATTAATGGAAGAAAGCCACAACACAAATTAGTCATGATTAAGGTCAAGAAACTATAACCCTTTGAATTCTTCTGTTCCCCATGAAGCCAATCATGTTTCTATAACTCGAGCTCTGCGACGTATAATGCTGCCACACAGGCACACAGCCAAATACCACTTAATGGGTGCAAATCAATATCGAAAATTGGCCACATAACCCAAAATCATCATCAAATGTAAACAATTTAGTAAACTGAATAGAGATTTTAGATTGTTAAAATGAATCAACATCATCTGATGGAGCTGACGTAATGAAATCGTACTGTTTATGTGCAGACTTCGAAGATATGAGCTGTGAGATGATATTTGGTCAGCATCCTCCAGCATTGTTAGATGATCCTGTGTTTAAGCAACCATGCTACAAATTATGTAATAACTTAATACACATTTTCTTCATTGTCACAGCATGCCTCATTGATATGAATTGTAGTATCAGATATTCAAAAAAAAAAAACTAATTTAGTGTATATGTAACTTACGCAGGCAAAGCAAGCCGAAGGCACCATACAAAATGCTCGAGCTAATGGGAAAGAACGGGTTCTACCTTCTACAAAGGCCACTGTCAGATATTTCAATTTTGCTATCCAATATTGTCAAATAAGTTCATATTCACCACGCACTTCTTGTATTACAACAGTAAATTACTTACATCTTTTGAGAAATTTGAAGCGGAATTTTCTTGAAAGTCCATGACATGATGTGCTAATAACCACAAAATGAAATAAGAAGATTTTGTGAGAAAGGAATCAAGGAGAGAGGAAGGGATGAAGGGGAAAGGGTAATAAATGTAAGTGACCTTTGTAGATGAGAATTATGGCGTTGAGACACAATATTTTATCATAGAAATGTAAAATAGAATATGGAAGTATTTTCATGATTCCCATTTAGATATTGCAATGGAACAACTTCAAGTATAATGAAATAACAAATAAGAATTAGTGTAAATTCTTCGGACAACAGTTTCTACACAGGAATGTAATAATCAAACCTAACAAGTCAAAATCTGAGAAGTCAAAACCCCAAGGCATGTGTGTATAAAGACGCAATGTAACATTGCAGATTCAATGGAATTTGAAAGCTGCATAATGAAACAATGTAACAGGAGAAATGTCAAGTTTAGGTTGAAATTGTCTTGTGACACATCTCGACCATGATGAGACTTGTCCCTCCTTTAAGCAACTGAGACAATATGGTATGCACTCAACGAATCATGATGAGACTGGTGATTACTAGTGATATGGTCACATAAAAGACAAAAGAGAAAATATGCATGGAATTTGTCTCAAAAGCATATGTAATGGGCAACTATATCATGGTCACTCAGAATTTTTGGTTGAATGAACGTATTCACACTGATAAAAGAACATTAAATTCACATGGGAGTTATGGAACTATTAATCATTGGGACAAAGTGAAACGAAGCAATGACATGGCAATACTACACAAGCTCGACAGATCTACAAAATGAAAAGATATTTTAATTCTTTTCCCTCAAAACATAAATCATTCTCCTGTTTACTTAAGGTACATGATATCAATTACCTCTAGAGGTTTTCCTTGTTATTTATGATGAGACTTTCAGTGGGTGATGCATCCTCACTTTCTTATAGACGGTAATGAAAATGGCCATTAGAATCTTGAGAGAAAAAGTGTTTTGACTGAAGATTAAATGTAGGTTTAATATCGGCAAAGTGGACCAATTGTGTCTCCCACCTTTTTTGTGCTGTGTAGTGATTAAGGGGAAGATTCTTTGGACGTCTTTTCTGTCTCACCGGGAGAGCGACCGAGTGTCCTGACCACTACTCCATTAAAAAATTTGGCTGAAAGTGGTTTCCTCCATAATAGCGTTTTGAAGTGTTTAGGTGTAGAGGATGTGCAAAACACGAGAAGTGATGATGGATGCAATCATGCAAGTGCCACATCTATGGGCTTAGAAAAATAATGCTAGGAACACAACTCTAATCCAACTTTTGTACAAACTTCTGAGGTTGTTATTCTTTTATTAATAGGTGTTTAAACGTTGGCTATATCATTCAATAATAAGAGGTTGTACTTACCAGTAAAATAATGACAACTCAATAGTTAGTACAAAGATTGATATTAGAGTTATTGTCCCTAGCATTACTCAAATTAGATTTCTTCTTTACCCCTCATAAGATGACCAATTTTTGTATCTAAATGAATGATATTCAACAGGGAAGCACTAAACTTAAGCAAGCAGAGAATTAGTAACACCCCACCACCTAAATGATACTTCTTTTGGAATAAAGAGTAACAAGAAATAAATTATAAATAGGTTCAGCTTCATTCCAATCAAACATGTACACTAACAATAAACATACCTTAATGTTCAGAGCCGCCGAAAACATTTCGTACGTTGAAGTAAAAACCATGGCCCTCCACACGCTCTCCATTGATCAGGACTTGTATGGACTATGAACTTCACTCCATAACAAAACATGGCCTCGTTCATTTCACCAATTCAAGTGTAGAATTCTAGTTTTGTTACAGTAAAAAGCTCTAAAAAATAGTCACATCTAACTTTTTTGCTACAGTAAAAAGCTCTCACATAAAGTCACATCTCAACTCGAATCAACGAACTAAATGGGCCCTTAATTTTCAGCACTTAGTTTCACACTCACAACTATGACATCATTAGGATGTCATCATGAATTCATTAAGCAGATTACTTGTAACTACTCTTTGAGATGATCAAATAAGAAGGCTAGCTATAGTTAAACAAGTTCAGAGAGAAGAATCTTGTCTGATTCTTTAACAAGGAATCATATTGATGAGTGAGTTTTACTCGCTCATTTGGTATCATTTTAGACTTAATATCTAGTTGGTTTCGAGGTTTTTGTTAGTTTTTATGTGTGTTTTCGTTCTTTGTTTGAATGATAAGTGGAAGTCTATGATTAGGAAGGTTTTGGACAAATTTCGGTGGAAAAAGACAGCAATCATAGCGCTTAGGCGCCAATCTATAGCGTCTTGGCGCTGAGTTTTATGGAATTAGCGTATTGGGCAGAACTGATGGCGTTTTGGCGCTAGTTTGCAGCGCTGCGGCGCTGAAATCCGGCAAAAATTGTGCACCGGGCAGAATGGGCAGCGCTTAGGCGCCCATTACAGCGCCGCAGCGCCCAGGAATTTTATATAGCAGCGCCGTAGCGCTAGAAACATAGCGCCGCGGCGCTACGATACGAAAAAATACGCGTTTTGAAGGCCAATCGCGAGAAAACTTACCCTTTTTGACCCTAAGGCTCTGAAACATATAAATAGATGATTCTAAGGCAATTAAAAGAGACTTTTAGACTGTGGAATGACGGCTGGCTTTTGAAAGAGTATTCAAGAGGAGAAAAGGAGAATTGGGACGGAGAAGAAGAACGGCTCAAATCCGGAGACGAAGACGCTTCAATTCAACTCCAAACTAGTTCTTTTCTTTCCTTTCCAATGATTAAGACTTTATTTAGGAATTTATTTTGTTTAGAGATGAACTAATTCCTTTTTCTAGGGCTACGATGTAGCCGGATTATGAATGTTCGAATTCTCAATCTTCTTTTTAAGTAATTGATGTTTAATCCATATAT